TATATATTTACATTCTACAACACTCACGGCATCATTTTATGAGTATATAGTTCTAAATATAGATCGTAACAACCTGCTGAGATTTAAAAATATATGTACTCCCGGTCTAACAAGCGGCATGCGTCTTTCACACACTACACTCACCGCATTCATGCCGCCTAGTTTGCAGTGTACTCTAGATACAGATTATAACTACACACTACTCAGATTGATATCCTCCCGGTCGAACAAGTGGCAAGCGACTCTCACACACTACACTCACCGCATTCATCCCGTCCAATGAGCAAAGCATTCTATATATAGATCCTATCTACCTACCACTCAGATTCTAAAAATAGATATCCTCCCGGCATAACAGGTGGGAACAACGTGCCGTTGGGCGGCTCCCGCGTGCGCGACCGTCGCGATAGCATTCGCGACTTGACGCGCCGAGACGTCCGCGACATCAGCCGCTCCAAAGACACGGACAGAGACCGCCGAAAAACGCGTTCTATCTCAAGGTCGCGCGAGCGCAGCGGGCGTAGGGATGTGGGCCGAACTTCGGAACGGCCGCGCAATGGGGAGAGTCTGACGGTGCGCGATAGGGAGCGGCGCCGTAGTGTACAGTTGGGTGGGCTGAGTGAGGCGGTGGTAGACTTGCTGGTGTCAGACGATGACGGGACGGGCAAGACGTACGTATGGCATCGCGACGAAGGAACTCGGTACAAGGTGAGGGGAACATGGGGATAGGGGTAGTGGGTGTGGGGTAGGTGTGTATTGAGTCAATAGGTGAACGCCTGGACTTGTGTGTTTTGTGTGCATTGATTTAGTACGATTGATAGATATATAGGTATGTATGTATGTATATAAATAGTACGTAAACATTCTTATATGTATATGTGTGTAAGCGCAAGCTGATCGATCCGATCTGTATGTATTCGCATAGTAATCTAGTACGTATCCCTTCATATACGTACATGCATGCACGTATATACTACTGGCGCAAACTTGGAATGGTATCTGGCCCCCGTTAACGGATACATACGCGTGCAT